ACTATTCATTTATTGAAAACCCTTTATTACCACACCGTATAAAAAACTGTCTCTCGACGCCGGTTTCGCTAACGAAAATATCATCATTAGGATATGATCCAAACTTGATAAGTATTAAATCATCAGCTATTTCCTCATCCGCAGACAATAATTATAATTTGGTGAGCATTATCAGTTATTTTATTATGATGCTACCTTGGCTAGCGAAACTTTATGTCAAAGGTTCGGATTCTACCATACTATTTCGGACATAATTCTAGTCTGAACACATCTACTTTTCTAAGTATTATTATGAATCATTATTATTGATCCGATTATTTCATTTTATTTTATTCTAGTATGAGAAATAAAATGGGCGGGGATGAAATAATATTGAATTTATTGTATTACTAACTATCAATTAGGATCGAAGTCTAAGAAATATTTTTAATCAAATTCTGAATAGAACAGTTCCCATAACCTCACAATAATTTGTGCAAAAAGATAACAAACCATTTTTGTCGGAAATTAACCCAATCAATATTTACTGATTCATTTTCTTTTATACAATTGAAGGTTGTTGTTCGTAGGGGGCGACAGCTGGTTGAGGGAAAAACAGATTTTATTAGGAACAGACAGAATACTTCAAAATAAATTGAAACATGTCATATTCATGACACATAAAGGATTGAATGCAAATTCAAAACACTGAAAAAATTCCATGAAGGGGGAATGGAATTACATCATGAATACAACTCACGACGCCCTGTATATTGTGCATCACAAACAGGTTCTTCCTGTATATGAAGCCATACTTTTGGTTTGAACAAGGAAAATGAGAAATGTTTAACTACGTCTGGAATGAGGAAGCCGTTTCACTAATGAACCATGCAGATGAAAGATAATAACTTGATGATTCCTATTGAATTTGTATTCGACATGAAATGACCTTCTGAAATTCAGTTATAGAAATGATTCAGTCAATAACCACGAAATGAATTGGAATTGATTTCGAATAAGGAACTTGTAACAAACCACTGGCCTCCAAATGTGAAGTGAATTATATAGTCGAAATTTTTAAAGACGATAATAACCTCGAGTTCAGCCTTCATGGTCCATATGCAGCAATGGTTCGAAGTAACGCAAAAATTTGTCGTCGCCAGAAGAGATTGTTCAGGTCAGTGGGTGAACAAAACGAAGAAATCCATATTTCAAGGAATATTAATTTTGAGTAGTTTTTTCACAAGCTCCCATTTAACTCACAGTGTATGTTCGGGTCATATCTTGCAACTGAATTTAAAAGCAGTTCTCCTCGATCGATTGAACTGAAATTTCGCATACATGTTAGCTGACGTCACTCTAAATCCAATATGGCGGACCAACCAAGATGACCGAACTGGTTTTTATATGCACATCGTGTTAGGAATCACACGTTAAAAGGTAAGACCTCGTTAGTCCTTAGCTGGCACAAGTTTCTCAACTTCTGAGAGTTGTCGTTCGTATGGGGGCGACAGCTGATTAACGGAAAAACAGATTTTAAACAGATTTTTTTTAAACACCCGATATGGGTATCAAACGGAAAGAAAAGAATAGGAAAAATAAAATGAAACTACTTCAAATCCAACATGACAGATTCCCAAAGATGGTAGACAATATTATTTTTATGCACCCCCATGAAATGGACATCTAAAGAAAGGGTTCAGCCACCAAGCAGAACACATGAATATGGCAAGTGAGATCTTGCCGAAACGTCATGATAGGTACTGTCGAATATATATTTTCAAACTCACTTCGTGAAACACAAGAAACACGAGGCTAAATCAGTTTTTGTCTAATCATTTTCATAAGAGCAAGTTGAGTTATCGATTGTTTGATAAATGTACAACTGAATTCAATTCTCTACCATCTGAATTGTGATTTGAAAAAAAATTTCAATATAGCGGTAGATTAGTTTTCAAAAACTTCTCGTGTGATAGTAGACACATATTTTTTTATTCACTTAAGAGTTCAGGTTGATAGAATCACCTATTGAAAACGAACTGAAAGTGTTATTGAGTGAAATGGGCCAATTTCAAGGTACTGAAAAAACCATAACAATTTTGTAAAAAAATAAGTTTTGAACTCGTTTAGACTCAATTGATGAAAGAATATAGGTATATCTACAAAGTCTACAAATACTAGGTGAAATTAACATGAAATTAACAATTTTGTAAAAAAATAAGTTTTGAAGTGGTTTAGACTCAATTGATGAAAGCACATAGGTATATACTATACTACATAGACTAGGTGAAATTAACATGAACTTTTTTAAAATAACGAAACTGAAAGGTCTCATGCTTTCAGATCGATTTATTTCAAAACATATAGGCAAACTGAAACGGAAGTAAACGTGTCAGAATCAGTTTGTTTCTTATTTCGCTTTGTGCGTGGGTTCCAATCATAATCACTCGACATGCTGCTCAGATACTCTCAGTGGACATAACCTATAATAATTAACCCCCGATAGAGACGAAACTAGGAGATACATATATTTGAAATTTTTACCAGTAAAGATATTTCTTGTGTCACTTCACCATGTGTACCCACAAAGTTTCCAGTGATACGATTTTTCCGCCAAATTCTGCTATTCCTTTGAGATTTTATTTGAACAAGTGGTTGGACAATATGAAGGTCAACCAACTACGGACAATCCCGTCAAATGTTGTTCTTTAACAGTTGGTCATATTCCGATAAGACATTTCAGATATGTGTGTCATGTAGACATTATTTATCATCTATTTTGTGTAATTTCATGACGAACGAGTGCTTCATCTTATGATGTTGTCATAAGACGAAACGTCGGATGTCCACCAGTGAGGATAACAGTGTTCCATGTATGTGAAATTTTACCTCTTTTATTCACTATTACAGTGGACAAACTTAAACTATATCCATCCAACGTGGTGGTGTATACACCACAGGCGTTAAAACGTAGGCTAGGGGCTAATTTATGCCCCTACACCTAAAAATTGTTCCTATAACCAGCCGCATATTAAAAAATAATCGGTCGTTCCTCAATGTGACTCTGTACAAGTAGCTTTGTCTGGGAGATCATACTTGCACTATGCATAATAATATTTTGGAGTACTCCATTGCTTAGTACGAGTATATATCTCGTACTACACAGACTAAGAGTTATGCGCGATCGACAATATTACAATTTTTTTAGTAAAAAGGATATTAAGAATAATTTTTGAGCCATGTATATTATGAACATTCTATGATGATTTATTCAAATTGAGGTTGAAAAAAAAGGTGAGGACCATTTATAAAAAAGGCGGAAAACTTATCGTCCGGTCACGTTTCGCAATAATTTTTTAAAGATACGAAAGATTAAATTTGCGGTATGCAGATGGATGAAAAAGTGAATTGAAAAAATATGACATGACCGGGATTCGAACCCGGCTCTCCTATTTTCTAGACAGGCGCATCAAGCCACCATCGGAGCCACCAAGTAAAATGACGACCGACTGACATCTCCAATTCAGTCTCTCGTAGTGTTAGTGCGATGAGAATGAAATTTATTAATAATTATGAACTGAAAAACTGAACTTCATGCATTCGATGATTAATTTGTAATTTCATTTTCAAATAACTCAGAAAAATAAAAAAAAGAATGTGGCTCATCATCAGGATTTTGTAACATGAACATGTTACATAATCTTTGAAGATGGTTTTCATCAGGTTAATATTATTTATTTTATGAATGTATGTTTTGTACAGATCAGGTAAGTAATTAAAAATGTTTGCACTGTGGTATTTGTAAGAGTGTTTCCCAATTGACTTTTTTGTTGCGTTTAGCTGTACATTACCTTATACCTTATATAATGAGGATTATAAATTTGCAGTATGCAGACAAATGAATGAAAAACTAAATTGAATAAATGTGACTCGACCGGAATTCAAACCAACTACGCTATCGGAGTCATAACTTGAACAAATAGTTCATTTCCGCATCTCACTTCGCACTTGTATCGAATATGATCTTATCGAGCAAGATATGGTGTTTGAGATGCTCATTCGGGTTGTTACAATCATCTTTGAGAAACAGGTAATATTTCAAACACATGTCATCAAAATAAAATCCTTTTAACGATTTGAATTTGATGAAAATGTATTTCTCAGGAGTCGATTGCAAGGCCTGTAAATTTGAGGTTAAGTGGAAGAGCAATTGAATGATGACTTGTCATCATGTAAATTGAACTTCGCCTTTTGTCTTCTTATAATAAATGAACTGTACATGATTTATTTGATTTGAATGTATTAGAAGATAATAAAGACGGTATTATTATTATTATTATTATATAAAGCATACCGTTATCATGGGGTATTCTTCACTCTATATTCAGACGATACATTTATTATCATTTCTATGAAAAAAAAGGTAACTTTGATGAATCACATAAAGGAATGTTCACTGGCAATAATATGGAGTTAAATACAGCAAAAACCATGTTCATTCTTTTTATCAATAAACAAAAGAAAATTCAGTCTAGATCCAATATTACACTCAGACGACTCACTTAGGTCAAGAAAACGAAACAAAAATTCTCCAGGACCTTATATGTAGTTGAACATTTGGATTTTAGTTAACGTTGGAAATACTACCATATCTAAAAATATCTAACCATCCACTGGAAAACACAAAATTGTGAAAAAGTTAAAAATTTTACTGGGCTCTTATTTTTGACTCTCAACCTTAATTTTGTAGATATAGTATTTGACTTTGAATATTCATAGATTGAAACACAGCAGATTATTCGTTTTTTTGTTGAATTGATTTATATGTTTTAGAAGTATTTCTGCATTTTTCAGAGAATTATATATTATTAGTTTGTGCTGTACTTTGACATATAGTGAAAATTTGTAGGTTAGACACTTGATAAATGCCAAGCGGTGTAAATTATATCAAAGTAATGAAGGATAAAAAATACTTGCTCTCCTTCATAATATTGAGCAGCTGAGTTGAAAGATGTACTCACCGTAATTTCTCTACTTTCATCTGTCCCTCCAGACAAAGTAATTCCTAAATTGCTTCCCACAAATTCCGATTTTAAGACTATAGTGGTCGACGTTCCTTTGCTACTTTTCTCAGTTCTAGCTTTTTCAGTTTTATCCAACGATAATCTCCTTGGCTTTATTGTTTCACTTGATAGTCCATTTTTTCCACTTTCATTCATTAATACTTTATCATTATTAATTTTTGGTACAGTTTCAATATCTTTCTTGACTATTTCTGTTAAAGATATCTTGCGTATCGGTTTTTGGAGTTTATACGCAGAAACTTTTTGTGGCATCGGTGGAGGAGCGGAACCAAAATTCTCAAAATTTTCCATTAAGGCTTTCACATTTATTGGAGCAGAGTTTCGATGACTACTGTACAAGTTCCTGGAAGTCCTGTTGTTACTCTTCGTATCTTCTGGAATCTTCTTTGTGACAGTGAAAGGTAAAGAATTGTTTGGCAACGAAGTACTTCTTGGAAGTGGTTTCAATGGTGGTATCTTCACTGAAATTAAGAACAAACTATTTTGAAAAGTGGCTTCGGGTTTGTAGTACTCAAAGTCGTGGTGAAAAATCGTGATTTACTTTATTCAATTAAATTTTGGGATATTTTGTGACATTACGCATACTTTCTAACTGTTCAGGCCTTTTACCAAATTCTCGATCAATCTTACATAACCTATAATAATTAACCCCCGATAGAGAC